ATTAGAAAATATATACAGTCAAACTTGATACGCTGCAGTTATAAACAATTGTCATCATCGTAAACGGATCTTATCAATAAATATTGAATCGCTTAGTATCTGTGTATTATTAAATGCACGATTTTGTATTGTAAATGAGTGTAATTCACGCATACATGTGTATATCTCATTATTATGTATACTTTTTATTGTTTGAAGCACTTCGGTTTAACATTACACTACACTCAATGTAATGTTAATTTGAAAGGCGAATAAATGGTAGCGCTAGATCGAAGTTTGATTATGTAACTTAATAAGATCGCTTGTAATTAACAAGAGCAATTAAAAGGCTCTCTAACATACTAATTTGGCCCACTTATACATTGCGTGCTGCTTAATTAATACAGCATGTTATACGTCAGATCCAGTAAATGCTATTCTATAATACTGCATGTCTAATAAATAAATATGTTTTGTTTCCCAGAATAGAGAAAATTTGATCACCAAAAAAATGATTTCTGTTAACTCCATCGAAAGGAATTACGGAAGAAAAACTATCATTACTTCTCCTCTCGATATCTATTACGTGTCAACGAGAAGACAAAAATGACGTTTTCTATGATAGATTGTAGATATAAGGAAAGTATTATTTTCATGAAAGAACTCTTATCAGCATTCTAATGTTCTGATGCTCCCGAATACCACGTAATTATCTAAAGCAATATCTTTGTCAAATAATCTAATATAGTAAAACTATATTGACCTCATTGACATGAAATGTCTGAGAAGCCATCAGAGTTATGTTTTGTTAAAAATTCTAGAGCCTTTTACTTTCCCGGCTGTTATAACATGACACGGGAAAGTATTGTAATCGTGTCAAATTTTGCCCTTCGGGTTTTTGCAAATCTCCACGTTTTGAGACACACTGAATACAAAAAGTCAAAAAGGGGAAATACGTGTGTGTATGTGTGTGTGTTTCGTTTAATATCCCAGAATACGTTAAAGATTAGTAAAAAATTAAATTTTGGGATTAAATATCGAGAGGATAGAGGGTAGAGATAGGGGAGATAGAGGGGGTCTATCGTATGTCATATCTTAAGTGGAGTCGGACTTATGAAAATTTTACTGGTTATTCGCATTTACAATACGTTTAAAAACTCAGCTTTATCCTCAAAATTAAGCCTTTTTTTCTTTTTATAATAATTAATAATATAAAAGTTATTTTTAAATAACATCTCTTAACATATGGCGCAATACAGAATTTAACTAGTGTCGTAGTGTTTTTTAATGGAGATTTTGATTATACAAATTTGGTGCTTTTAAGCTTTTGTTATTAAATTTTACATCGTAATACAATTGAAAATTATCGTACTTCCTAATGATTCTCTTAACCTTCTGTTCGAGTGCCGGAAAAATCGAGCTCTTACCAGCTTTATTTTTTATTATGGAGAAAGTGCTAAAATGACGTCAAATTGAAATAATACTGTACACTATGGAAAATGAGCCAACAACCCTTTTTCGAACTTTGTAAAGAAACACAGGTGTTTATTGGAAAAGGTAAAAGAACAAAAATAAACAGATATATTTGAAACGGAGCGTTAGCTAAGCAGCTTCTTCCATGAGGCTTACAGAATTGTGTCCGTTCTCAAATTCCGTTCGAAAGATTTTGATTAAACTTTGCCATTTTCTATTAATTGAGACGAGGAATCCAAAATGCGATGCGGGTCCATTTAAATGTAAAAAATCCACCAGCAACGAATCGCCTAACTTTCCCGGCAACATTTAAAATTCTGGTGGCGCTATCTGTTAGGATGTTTCATTTAAAAAATTGTTTATGTTTTTAATTATTATAAAATGCTTAATTTTGAGAGTAGGGATGGGTTTTATAAAAAGTTGTAAATGAAAATAACGAGTAAAATCGTCATTAAGACCGACACTACGCGAAATATGACACACGACCACTCTTTATCTCCCCACTCCGACGACCTTAAACCACCAAAATTTAAAAGCATGAATCTTTCTACTGTATTTTCGCGGAATGACCGGCATGCCGCATATAAACGGCGGAGACCAGCATGCCGGTTAAACTGCGAATAAAAAAATAAAATTAATCAGACGTAACAAAAGTAATTATTAAACAAAATGTTAAAAGAAATTCTCCGAATACAATATAATATCATTGTAATTTGAATGAGTTAAAATCAGTAAAAGAGTTTTCGTTTACAAGACAAGAAAACAATTAGCGACTTATTGACATTAATAGTAGTAGTAGTTAGTGTGAGCTACGATGACCATCCTCCCCGACCTTAAAAATAACACCTTTTTTTCAAATTTCACACAAAGCCAATGTTAATCGACATAAATTGAGATAATTTAGGGCGAGTTTGTTAAATTTAATATATTTATTTTTATGTTTTTGAATCGAATTACCATAAAATAAACATAAAGAAAGCACTTTCGGAATTCCACGAGTATTTTAAGTCGTTAGAAAGAAGGCAAGTACAAAGTTCAGCTGTCCGCATCCGTCAGGTATTGTACAGGATTGACTCTTCTGTGCCTAACAGGTGCAGGGATCGCTTCTTTCCTTCCGGCTCCGCTTCAATCCTATCGCGATACGACAAAGTCGCGCGATGTCTTAGTTGTATTTATGTAAAATATTGAAAAAAATCTTAAATTAGAGATGATTTAAAAATCTTTTGTGTCCTACTAAAAAATTTACTGCATTCAAAGTTTGTCTGTTCGGTTACTTTATTCAAGTGTTACGAAATTCGATTTCTGAATTTTTCAACTTTAAGCACAGAATCAATAATTTACTTTTTGCCTTCTTTGGCGTTTATAATTGAGATTCTGTACTGCATCATAAAATTTTTTTTTAACGTGATCATGAAATACATTACACTACGCTTTCCTTACTATTGAAAGAAACAACAATGTAACTAAAAGGTTCTTTTACTTTTAAGGGTCCATAAAATATTTTTATCCTCCATAATACAACTTCTCTCAGATCATTCAACATTTTGAAAAGTTTATTCTCCCTTGTTTTTGTTTCTCTTTAGAGATCATTCAAATATGATGACACCAATTTTAAGTCTATTTAGACTACTCACCTTCTCCCTGTCGCATTTTGTCACAAATTTTTAGACATTCCGTATTGATATCACACTTGAGCTACCATCCCCTGATATTAAAATTAATCATTTCTGTAAAACAGATATACATTATATCAATTTATTCGTATTTTCTACCAAGGCGATACTAATTATAAACATTTTTTTTTTAAAATGGAATATGCCATTTTTTAATTCAGATTCGAATTAAATTAAAAAAAATAACATAATTTTGTTCAAACATTTTTTTCTAACATTATCTCCATCGACCATAAAATGATCTCGAAAGTGTGATGAATTCTTCTTGGCGAAACGTTACTACGACTCGTTTCTTCGCGATATTTTTCAGCTGGCTGAATATTCAGTGTCAACAAATGTAAACAGTACGCTTGTGTTTACATTTTCCTTTGAAATAAGTTTTCGTTTTCAGTTACACACCTATCAAATGTGTCATAGGGATTCTGTAGCCATGCTCTTTGAAGTTCTTCGAGCACAAATTCCTTTTCAAGCAGAATAGATAATTGTATCGGCGAGGACTGTTCATTTTGAAAGTCTTGTTTGAACAACAGTTAAAATCGGCACCGAGTAAGTTACGCCAGAAGAAAAATGTTACGTAGCAATAGTAACAATTTTTGTTACACTTCAGCATCAATTCCATGTGATTATTGTGCCAACATCTTCATTACGTTTCTCCTATATCGATGGTACGTTAATAGGAATATTTTGTAACTTAAGATATTTTATCATTTTCACTTTTTCTGTGTGCATCACACTTTCGAGATCATCAAGTTATACCATTATTAAAAGAAACGTGTTGCAAACAAACACATACGAAAAATATTTTCTGTGTTTTAAGATACTGATTATTCTCTAAATCAAAGCAAATATTTAGTAATGAAAAGAAAAACAATTGAAGAAAATATAGATTTTTATTATCCTATGAGAAAGAAATATACAGGGTGGCCTAAAATTCATTTAACCATTGTAAAAAATAAGTTTCTGTCATTCAGTCAAACGTTTTATTACTTACAAACTTTATAAAGAATTGTTTAAAATCAGATCTTGTTCAATACACAAATTATAATACTTTAAGAAATTAAATTGTGACGTTTTAAAAATTCTTTATAACTTGTTCGAGAGATTCACACAAGTTAACTGTCTTTTGGATCAGCCTGTATATTACACTAAAAAAAAGAAAAATTGTAAATGATTCTCTGGGGCTGATAAATGGATATGCTGCGGACGAAAATTTTAAATAATTAGCTTTTAAAATATATTAATTTTAAAAAATGTGTTTATATTTTTAGTATATAAAATTATGTCTTNGAACTTTTTTGAACAAAAAAAATTTTTTTAAACTGCAAATAACAAGCCTACATCATTTATACTCAGAATGAATGAATGAATGAAAAATGTAGAAATATTTTGAATTCATTGTTTTAATAAAAGTAATTCAAAAATAGCAGAAAAGTTGGTAATACTTTAGCTGAAAAAAATCAGTGTATTTTTCTTTGTTTGTTAAGTAAATCTAGTTTTAATGATGAGTAAAAGTAAACAAAACATTCTTTCAATCTAATTGCATTTATATTATTGATATTTTATCCTTGTTTGTATACATTATCATGCTGATTAGTTTAAAATGAAATGAGAATGTTTCTTAACATAAACAGTGAGAGATTATTGTATTTGGAGATTTCTCTATATTAAGCATTTTTTTAAAAAATGATGTAGAAAGTTATAAGCAATTATATTTCTTAATAAAACAGAAAACTGTTATACTTAATTGTCAATTATTTTTAAAAAACAGTTTATTCTTTTTAATATTAATTCATATTAAAAGCATTATTAAGTTTACAGTTCATTCTGTATTTAATGAAATTATGATTTATTTCAATATACATATTTTTTAATCTAGCCTGTTCTTTGGGTACTATGGAAATCACCTAAAGATCCTTGGATATTTATGAGGGGTTCAATCTTATGTGCTTTTGGTGCATTTTTATTTGGATGGCATGTTCATGAAAAAGCTATTCTCATGGTTATTTTACCATTGACGTAAGCATGTATTTTGATGATATATCTTTATAAAATATGCAATAATTCTGATTGTACAATTTGTCTGTTAATAATAATAATTTAAGAAAATTATAATGAATTTGTGAATATTAATGATCTTAATAAAATAAATTGAAATGTTTTTATCATTAACCTTTAATATTTAAAATGGTAAAATAAAAGTTTAGATTAAGAAACAATGAATTTCATTTTAGTGGAAAATATTGCATTTTATAATTTCAGGCCTTTGGCTCTTTTTCAACGTTTTGAAGCTGAAGTATTTTTATTTTTGGCAACTATTGGCCATTATTCTATTTTTCCACTTCTTTTTAAGGCAGCAGGTATTTAAATACACTTACTTTTCTTCTTATAGTTAAATATTTACTTATATTTATACACGTATGTTTTTATAGAAACTCCCATCAAGATATTTCTTTTGTTGCTACACAGTGTATATGCATTTACAGCTTTAAGTAGAATACATCGGTAAGTGAAGAAAAATATATTAAATCTGTCTATTATATCTTGTTTCTTTAATTACATTTTTAAAATATTTTTTGTAGACCAAGAAAAACAGATGGTTTTCTTCCACTATTGAATACCCAAGAGAGCTTATTTCTTTTAGGATTAATACCTTTACAGATGTATTACAGTTTCGGAAATAAGTTATTAGGATTGGATCAGCGTTTGCCCTTTTTACCATTACTTTTAATATCCACATATTGTGCCTTTGGTATTTTTCAGATGTGGATTAAAATGTATAAAGATTATACACAATATAAAACTCCTGTACTTTTTACGATGGATGGAAAAGAGCTGAAAAAATCATAAAAATATTTGCAAAATATTTTCTGAAATGCAAAGAAGTTAACATGTGGGAAGTTTTACTTTAAAAATAAATATAAATTTATTTATTTTGCATTATTTATTATTTATATATACATATATATATAATTTCTCATTACCTAAAATTTTCTAAGTCAAAATGTTTGTTTTGTTATGTGTGATTCACAATAACATATCAATATTTTTAATTAAGTGCAATTTTGAAGTTGATTTTAACATACAAGTTTTATAATTATATAAAGTTAAAAAAATTTTAAAAAATGCTCTTTAAACTATATAATATATTGTAAAAATTATTAACAGCACTATCTGTTTTAAAATTACTACATTAAAAATATAATATACTATTATATTAAATATATTGCTGTCAAATTTAAATATTGATTTATTTTATTTTAAAATACCATTTATGTAATTGTTTTCTAAAGATATAAAAATTATAAAATTCCACACATGTTATCTTCGTTGTTTTCATTGATAGATTGATGTACTAAATACAAACAATATTTATATATGATGATGTGTAGTTCCATTTCCCAGTTCATTTGCAACAGTGGTGCTAAGAAAAGATATCATCATTTTTCATAGTAATCACATTCATTTATTTATTTTTTTTTTATGAAGTTTGTAATTTGTATTCATGTCTGGCAGCAAATATAACTTAAAAATTTTTTATAAGTATGGTGTTGAGTTGTATTATTTCTTTTTGTAGAATTAATACAATTTTGATTCCAACTCAAGGAATAGAACAGCAGTAACATTTTCAATGTGCAAAAGTCAACTTATTTCTTAAATTGCTTGATTTCTAAAATGTATCTTACAAAATTTATCTAAATTCCTTCAATTTGCTTAGTCTCTCTATAAATATTCTCAACTTGATATTTTAGAATTATAAGTGGAAATATTCAAGAAATAACAAATATAAATTTTAATAATAAAAAATAAAAAATAACAATTTTAATAATTAACAACAACAACAATATACTGTAAATTTTAACAAATATAATTATTTACGTAGGCAAAATATTAGATTTAATATTATATTCTTTAACATGAAAATTGCTATCATAAAGTTTTGATTATTCAAATTAATATACAGTATGTAAGAATTATGATGTTTTAATATAAAGTTATATTAAAACTTTTATAATAGTATAACAGTGAAATTTATGCATAAATTTTATAGAAGTAAATTCATAAATATTATTTTAAGTAATTAATTACATGGAATTTTTACTGAAAATTATGCAAAATGAATCTCAACTGTTTTTGGAATGGAAAAGTTTCTTAGAAAAATCTTGTGTGTGATTTTGTACATAAAATGTAAAACTGAATTGAATTATCTGACATTTTTTCACTAATTATCTAACTAAACTTTATAAAAATATTAAAATCATTGTTTTGAAAGTGTTTGCTACATAATTTATTGTACTGGCAAAGAGCATTAGTGCATATTAAAATTACTTCAAATAATCACTTTTGTTATAAGAAATTTGGAAATATTGGAATTGTTTAATTAATTAATTAATCTAAAATCATTAAAAAAATTTTTAAACAATAAAATGAAATCAAAGTTTTATTAATTTAATTTCATATAAAATCTAAAATAAAAAGAATTTTGGAAATAAAAATTAATTTAATGTTTAAAATATATATTTAAGAAAAATTTATATTTATTTTATTTGTTTTAATAATTGAAATACTCATAAAAATTATTTTGGATATATTGAGAAATGTTACATAATAAATACCTGGAATAAGTTGATTGAAATTAGAAAAATTAACTTTAAAAAGAGTTTTCTATGATATATATTACAAGATGAAAGCAAATTTTAATTATTAAAAAAAAGATATTTTAAAATTCCTAAATTTAAGATCTATTTAACAAAATGGTAGTGGTCATTTCTGAAGGGAGTTGGTGTTTATTTGTATACATGCTCTTTTTAAAGATATGTTTTACTAGCATATTAGCTTGTTTCAAGAATGGAAATTTGAAGGTCTATTTTAAATTAATTTTTCAATAGACCTTTATTTTTAATTTTTTGCATTGTAAATTATATCAATTGATTATATTATTATTGTTGTGAAAGAGGAAAACATTCAAAATGTGTCAGATGCTGGAATATTTTTAAAAGCATGTTTAATTTTTTTAAATACTAGAGATGGGATATATAAATGCTTTCTTTCAAAATATATTTTTAAGAATAAAGATTTTTCAGGGTTTCAAGGTGGCCACATACAGTTGGATATAATGGAAATTTAATGTGTTGTTTTGAGCATGTATATAAATAATAATAATAATAATATGACAATTGTTTATAAATGTAGCAGGTTAAAAAAATATTTTATCTATTTTATATTTTAACTGAACATAAACATGTACATATTACCATATTAAACAACAAATTGTAATAATAGAAAATAGACCCAGAAAATTTCTCTATCCAATAACAATTAAATTTGTAATTAATTTGCAATTAGACTGAAATTTTTATCTCATATCTGGTGATGTGTCTCTTTGTTATTGGTTTTCTGATCATTTTAAATAAGTACTGTACAGTACATGCAATTTGACTATAGAAGAAAAACTTAATGCTTAAATGATTAAATGAAAAAAACAAAATATTTGTTTTTACCAGTTTTAATAATTGTATATTTTTAAAATCTTATTAATCTTTCATTAAATAGGCATTTTTAAAAATAATTGTGTTGCTTTGAATTTAATACAGTATGCATTCTTCTTTCAAAAAGAATTTTTAGGAAGAAAAATAAAATTAGATGATAAATTAGAAGAGCTACAAAGAATACTTGAAAATTAAGAATTGAATCTTACATCTTGAGTTGAAGAAAGACTCCAATTTTAAATTTTGGAAATGTGATAAAGATGCATTATAAATTCAAAGCAGTATGATATGTTTGATTTGAAATTAATAAATAATTGGAATATTTCAATATAATGGTTGCAATATAAAATGTTGTGCCATTACAAGTACCTTTATTAGTAAATTCCACTATAAAAAGAATTGTAATCATAATATTAAGTTTTTCATAACATTTTGACAATTAGAATGAAGTATATTAGAAATAATGCATTGAGTTTTTATCATGTGGTTTACTTCAAAGTAATTGTAGCAGGGTATAATAAATCCAATTTCAAAATGTTTTCTTGGAAGAAATGATTTTCCTTGCTTCTTTTACAAGAAGGAAGATCTCTTTTTTTTTTTTCATTTAATATTTTGTATTATTTTGATGTGTGTTAATTCATTCATCTGTTTGTAGTGTCGTGCATACATTTACATCTTGTGAATAGAGAAGAAAGTACAAATTTCATTGAAATCATCATTTCATTATGCAATAATGAAAGAAGGTATTTTATAATGCATGATAATTTCATTACAAATTTATGATTTGTTCTTTGGAGACTTTATTAATGATTTGAAATTAGAATTGATATTATTACTGTTTTGCAGTTTGAATAAAATTAAAAATCCTTGTTTTTGGTTTTAATCATATTAAGTGTGAAATTGTATGTGTTGAATCATCTTAATGTTTGTTTTCAATGTATTAGTCATTTTTTAATGTGATTACTAAATTAAAGATTTACATAATCTGTTACATATACCAGTAGTTAAAACATTTTTTTAGTAAACATAAAGATTATGATATGGGTTTGTGTGTGACTTTTTCTTTTGTTTTTTACATAATGTAATCTGTGTGAATTTTATTTGTATAATTTTGAAAAATATAAATTTGTTTACTTGTAATAAATGATAAACATTTTATAAATATGTCTTGTCTAAAGCTTTAAAGTTATGAATAATGTTTTTATAATTTATATGATTGAGAATTGTTTAAAATCTTTGAATTCATACATATAAAATAGTTGTATTAAACTTGCAAAATATGAATCAGACATTTCCATGTTTGCTTTGTTTTGTATTATAAATTAATTCTAATCTTTTATTTTTTTCTCAATATTTTAAAGCATATATTCTAAGTGTGCAAAATTAATTTTGCTTTTATTAAAATATCACAAAAATAATGTTTTTATTACATTCCCAAATTAATTTATTTCTTATTCAAAAGTTTTTTAGTATATTTATAACTCATGGCATATGAAATTATTACATAAAATATTAAAATGAAAACTTTAAGAAAAAAAATGATAATTTAGATTTTTATATCTTAGTTTTCTCTTTTGTTCTGAAGGAAATAAAAGGAATCTTTATGGATTTAGCCAGATGTGACTAGATGTGAAGGATAGTATCTGACATCGCCAGACCAAATTTTTGATGTTTGGACCTAAACTTGAATTCTGATTCTTTTATTGACTGGCCATATTTATGCTATAGTTTACTATCTGAATCATGATTGAACATTGACCTATTAATTAATGAGACATGGACTGTATATCATATAGTATAGCAGTATAGGAAAATCCCCATTACTGTGTTGTCATTACATGTTGTCAGGAAAAGCACTGCAATACTTTAAAACTGCCATAATCAAAAATAACAGCATATGGGAAATAGAAACATCACCCTGGGATTTCGTTTTGCATATTACTCTGGATGAGTAGCCTTTAATAAAAGATTGACTTCATCAGGAAAAACAGTTTTGTTCCTGAGGTGTGTGAAAGGAAGCAATGAAGACATTTATAGTTTCTTCTATTTTTTAAAAAGTTTTTAGCTTCATCATGTAGAAAATTTAACTCAGCTGACATGAGACACAATTTGCAAGAAATGACAATTAGATTGGAGGAAACAGCTAGCAAAATTGATTTAAAAATAAATAGTAAAAAAAATAGTAAAAAAAATAAAGCCAAAATTATTGAAAATAGCATAAACCAAACAGTGGAACAGATTAAAATGACAAAGATAATCATCAGACACCAATGGTTTTTGTTGCTGGAGTGTCTAGAGGTGGAATCAAAGCAATTATTGATTGAATGATTGGCAAAGCACCTAGTAGTATTGCAATGAATGTAACTAATTGAGACTTCAGACATCAAAATGACAGAATGTATTAATCATTGATACCATCATCTTACCAATGGCAATTTATGTTAGTGAAACTTCAAAGTATATATGAATTTAATAGTGCAAAATTAAATGTGTTACATAAGAAATGTCTATGCAAAATTCATAAAAACAGTTATTACAAGCATATGACATTAAAACTATCATCTTAATAATGGAATGATTATTCCATTATTAAGATGGAAAGAGCAAACATTGGCATTTCATTAATGTATTAAGGGGAATTTTTTAAGTTTTGCTTAATTCAATTTTTATTTAAAT